GGCCAAAAACTAGTTTAATGCATAAAATGTGAAATAAGATTGATTTTTTTTATGATTTTCATATTAAAAAATTTATTCCATAATATATCTAAATGTTTTATTTAAGTACCCCTATTTGGCAATGTGGTAAATAAGCAACAGTCGTTTTTCGCGAAAATACCAACTAAATATTTTTTTTATTATTTTTCTTAACTTTATTTGATAGTAACAATTAGGTCTAAATAGATTTTATTGAAAAAATCAAACAGTTAATGTCTTGCCAAATGAAGGGTTAAGGGTCCTCGGCCACTAGACACGGGGGTGTTTGGTGGCCGCTAAAGGAGGACCCGTTAGCGAAGACCAGGGGAGGTACTACTGTACTACCCCTGAAGCACAGTAGATAAATCAAACAGTACGGAAGCTTCATACAAACGCTCGAAATCAGACTCACGCACACAGACGCACGCTTTACACGAGCTCTAAGCGAACCTCGCAGTCCATCCGTCGCGAGTGTCGCGCGCGTTGCGTTTTTAATACTAATTTTATTGCATCCACTGTCCGCTGTATTTTTAAAAACATGCCACGAATCTATTGCGTAGTTTACGGCTACTTTAACTCGGCATCTACAAAACCAGAACTTTCATTTTTTAAACTTTCCTAATAATTCTGAATGGTAAAAATTATTGAATATTACTTTTTAAATAAAATGCTTACATCTGATTTTGTAATAGTTATTTTTAAATTACGTAATTACGCTTCTTAACAATTTGTGTGTTCTATTTGATAAAGTAATTTGCTTAGTGCGCTTTTGTACTAAGTGATGAATTGTACCTAATTTAATATTTTTTAACTACTTAGTCAAATAATTTATTAAATTACGTATTTGATAATTAAATAACCTAAATAAACGTTTTAATAAATAAGTAAGTAAAAACCTTATTAAATATATAAAGATTAAGAGTGACAACCCTAACACTCAGTTGAAGTGTAGGTATTTAACTCGACGAAAGGGCTTAGTTTCCGTACTGCTTTAGCTCATATATTTACTGTGCCTGAAGCCAGTCGTCGCTTGCTCAAACAGAGCGAGCCACAGTCCGGGGCGGAGCCGCGAAAGAATGTCTAGGCCGTCTAGCTCGGACAATAACTCGCAGCACCGTCCCAAAGACTTCGGGAGGACACCGTCAGGTTTTAGTGAGTAGGCCCTGCCCATCTGGCAGGGAGAGCCTTACATAACCCACTGGTTCCCCCGGGCCAGTGGTTGCAATTTCATGCATTTCCTGACGAAAAAAAAAAGATCATACAGGTATAAAGGGTGGACACCATTAGTGATCTCACTCGATTAATTCTAAACTATACAAGACTAGCTTTTGACCGCGGCTTAACCCGCGTGGAGTTTTAGTCTGTCACAATTCGTCGTAAATTATAGCCTATAAGTTATTCTGGGTAATAAACAATAATACTGTAAAGTTTCATCAAAATCCATTCAGTAGTTTTTGCGTGAAAGAGTAACAAACATGTTAACATCCAGACATCCATACAAACTTTTGCATTTATATTAGTCGGATATCAAAAAACTAGTTACTGATCCTCAAAGTGCTTCATAAGCTCTATCAAACGGTAATACGTCAAGCTAAACAGTAGAATCTTATGCTGTTGTAAATAAGAGCTATACTGCATCAAAAAATGTATAGTGCAGTCAGTTGGCAACTCCCGTCTCAAGGTCCCGTCCTTTGCTTTTTGACAATAGTGACTGAGTTTCATCCGCCACTTCTTCTCAGCACCAGCCCATGTGTTGTCCCGTAGTGGTGATAGGGCAAGCTATATTTGGGACGTGTGTAAGTGCCCTGGAAAGGGTCTATGTACTGAACTATACTATTTGAATTTGAACAGGCCTGTTCATCTCCGCGAGTTTACATCGAAAACAAAACACGCACGATGGCCCACCTACAGGATACTATTCGACAAGGCCTCACATACGAGCGAACATTGACTCACGCACGCGTATTCTTGTGTATGATGGACGAAAATAAAAAAAATGGTGTACTAAATACTGTGCAGTACTTATTTAACTGCCTAAATAATAATAAAAAACACATAATGTACTTTTTTAAGTTGCCTCAAGACACTGTGAGGTAAATAAGTAGTTAATATTATTCATGATAATTCATGCTAAATCGTGTATTTCCTCCGCCATTTTCCGCAGTTTGTCACCTCACGTCACATCATTTTACCGAAGTCAGCCCTATAGCTTGGGCGCAGTGCCGATCACTGACGTTTGTCAACAAAATGGTACTTGACTCTTGAGACAGACTAAATTACACCATATTGTTAATGACATTGAGCATAATTTTTTTAAATACCTTCGCGAAGTAAAACTTCTGTACGTAGTACTTATTATTATTCTGTGATTTGAATAAGACAGTGGCGCACTGGCGCCCCTGTCGAATAAGATCCTATCATTCGCTAATATTCTTCCAAGAACATCTTATTAACTATCTTTGAATTTGTTTCCAGGTATCGTCGCAAGCGCAGCACCAGCCCCAACAACAAGTATTCCTGGCGCAAGTGGCCACCAGCCAAGACGACTCATAGTGTTCGGCCGAATCCACTCTCGACAATATGGATGACGTCACGGTCAAGTTCGAAGATTAAATTCGAATTGGAATATAGCTCGCGCAATAAAAGTTGAGGCCAGCAAGACATGCAAAGATTTGTCTGTATACACTGATGCAGTCAGACTTACAAATGCTTTTTGTCTCGATTGCAGACATTTTACAAGAGCGTGGCAACTATAGGCCTAGGACCTCACTCAGTGCCTGGGGTATGGGAGCGGTACGGAAAGGTGTATTTGAGACGTCAAACGTTAGAGAGATTTTAGATATGCTTCAGATTTGGATGCACTGTCACGCCAATGTGTGTCAATGTCAGCCTAGGCGCAGACCACCGATTTTTAGTTGGCCGATAGTTGGATCACGCTGTTAATTAGTATGGAGATGTATCATGAAAGTGCGCACATTACACCGATTTGGTATCGGCCGATTCTTCAAAAAAATTAAAATCGGGCCCAACTATCTGCCAACTAAAAGTCGGTGGTCTGAGCTTAGACTAAGAGTTAAGCGCCAGACCTATAGTTTATTCGATATTTGAACTTGAATGTGTATTGCGTTCTGTATTCAAATATTAAATCAGTGTAAGTGTTAGCCTCAACTTTCATTGAGCGAACTATACGCGTGTGCGACTTCACCCATAGACAATATCGGATTCATTCATTCGAGATGTGGATTTTAAACAAGTCACGTGGTTAACTCATGTGATATCTAGGTTTTAGTGCTATTTAAGTGTAAGATGTAGGTATATCATAGGTTCGTTATAATATTTTTATTTATCAATTATTATGACAGACTCTTTTCGGTTGCTTAAAGTACCGAGTGTGGTTTTACTAAATTTTGTGATTAATTATAAGATTTAACCGAAGCATAGTTTGCGAGCATTCGTTAGGGTTTAACGCGAACATTTGTTCGCGAATCAAATAGATTGAGATTGCAGCAGGGGAATATGAACCGTTGCCAGATAGTAAAGTTCTAAATTGACGTGATCATTAACCGAACGCTCGCTAGATAAGTTATTGGGAATTATTCTTGTACATTTTAAAGCTAGTTACTTACTATCTGTATATAATATTGAAATAAAGTAAATTTTAAGATATTTACTCTTTCATTACATTTCCTTCTAGAAAAAATCCAGAAATATATTGAATTATTTAATAAAAAATTAAATCTTACGCATGTATTTTCACAATGTAATCAACAACATAAACGTTATTATTTAATAACATTCGATAAAATCATTTAATTCATATTAATAAACAACAATTTAAAATCAACGAATAACACTTAAATAAGTAACTTAAAAATTAACACTTCTAGTTGAAGGTACACAGTTAATCACATACAAATTAAAATGTAACCTAATACACCATAATAAGATAAAGAATACCCATTGAATTTAAAACAAAAAATAAAATAGATTGAAAAAATCTATGGTTAGGAGGAGATAATCAGAAGACTGCATTCTCTAAAGTTTTATTACCTTATTATAAGAGAGAGAGAGCAACGTCAATATACCTTTGTCTCTCTCACTCACCTTGAAATTCTGAGATGTGCAAGAGAGAGAATCGCAGCTTTTGCAGTTATCTTGTGCAGCCTATAGTTTAAGCTCAAAGTTTGTAGTTACGTACAGTCAGCGTCAAATAGTTCGTGACACCCAAAGTAGCCAAAAAGTTCGCAACACGTCTTTGTTACTTATTTATTTATTTATTTTATAGAAACCAACAGCGATACATTAAAAATGTTAGTTATAAGATTTAGACTGATATATCAGTCTAAATCTTATAACTATAATCTATAGATAGTATAGCCAATGAAAGGTTTCCCTTTTCAACCGACTTCAAAAAAGGAGGAGGTTCTCAATTCGACCCGTATGTTTTTTTTTTCTATGTTTGTTACGCGATTACTCCGCCAATTATGAACCGATTTGAACAAATCTTTTTTCGGCGTATAGGTAATACCTCAAGGGTGGTCCCATTTAAATTTAATAATAGAAAAAACAACCCCCAAGGGTGGAAAATTGGGGATGAACTTTTTTATACGCAATATCTCCGCCGATTATAAATCAATTTGAACGATTATTTTTTTGTTGAATAGGTATTATCACAAGGATGGTTTCATGCGAATTTGAAGAAAATATTTCACCCCCAAGGGTGGAAAATTGGGGATGCAATTTTTTATACGCAATATCTCCGCCGATTATGAACCAATTTGAACGATTATTTTTTTGTTGAATAGGTATTATCAAAAGGGTGGTTTCATGCGAATTTGAATAAAATATTTCATCCCCAAGGGTAGAACTTTTTTAAAATTTTTAGTTTTTTTTTGTGTTCACGCATTTGAAGTCGGTTTTTTTTTTTTTTAAGTTAATTATTATAAAAGTAGTTACATTGTTGTTGAGAAAAAATATGTTACTATCGGAATAAGGTTGTGTTGTCAACTTTTTGGCCACTTTGGGTATCACTTTTTGAGTCTGACTATACTATACAAGACGAGTTCACAGGGTTTTCCTGTATTTCTTCTTGTCTATACGAGCTAGTGTCGCGTTCAGGTCTTCCCTGAGCAGACTGACCATGGCTTGTTTCTTCCTACAGTCGTCCCGGATGAGAGCCGCAGCCTGGACTTTGAGATTTTCCATGAACTCTGCCTCCATATCTTGCGATCTGATTATTATAAAAATAGTAGTTTTAGGCTGGGTGTTTTTGATATTTAAAATCAATCCTAATCAAAATCCGTCCTTCAACTGCCAAATTTCAATCTGTATTCGATCAAATTTAAACAAAATGAGAGTGTAAAAGCATCAAAAAAGTCTTATAAATAATATGAAAATGTAAAAACATCCAAAACCGTAGATATTTTCACCGAAAACATTGAAATATGACAGTTGATGGACGGATTTGGATTGGAATCGATTATAACATACGGCGTTAATCGTCGGACTTAAATAGGGTGTCATTTTAAGTATCTACTGATCAAATGCAATAACTGTCCTACAGAAACAATATTGGCTAATTACTGACGACAATTTGTATGGGAAGGTTAGGTTAGGTTACTTCCTTCCTTCCTTCTCTTGGGCAAAGTACAATAGTTGCATTTGAGACATAGAATCAATGCTTTTATTTGATCCATATTTATAGGGCAATCCTGTATACTAATACGGGCAAAGCTTTATGTATAAAATGTTCAATCACCTCTTGTCCAATTCCGTGAATTTTTCGTCCATAACCTTGACTACCCGCGCCAAGATGTCCGACGCAATTGTTTTGTATAACTTGCGCCGTTCTTGCTTCACCTCGTTGAGATGCTTTTGTGCCTCCACAAACATGTGAATGAACCTGTAATGTAATTGCTTTTAAGTAACCCGTGGAAGAAGAATGCTTCTAAGTAACCCGTGGATATCATAAGAGGCGAGAAAGTAAGAAAATATGCAAACATCAGGCCTCTGCAATTTGTCTGGCCAGCGTAGAATGTAGATAAAATCTTCCATTTACCTCTGGTTAAGAGTGTCATCCTGTTGTAGTGGAGACTTAGGCCCAGAACAGACGGTGAAACGCAACTACAACGAAACTGCAACTTTCTGATGATTCTGATGAATGAAACTGAAAGTTTCAAACTGGTCGCGTCATGTGTGGTCTCTCAACGGACGCTACGGCAGAAACTTAGTTGCAACTCAAAATTAACTAGCAGTTGCAGTTGCGTTTCACCGTCTGTTCTGGGCCTAATGACATGATTATGATGAAGTAACTAGATAACTTGTTTAGAGTTAGACCACGTTAGACACTTCAAAGGTATGCTACCATTTATTAAGATCGTTTGACGTCACTTAGCCTAGGCGCAGACCATCTATTTTTAGTTGGCCGATAGTTGGACCCGATTCTAATTTGTATGAAGAATCGGCCGATTCCAAATCGATGTAATATGCGCACTTCCATACATGCCCATACTGATAACTGCCCGATTAAACTATAGGCCGACAAAAAATCGGTGGTCTGAGCCTAGGCTTATTGTTCACTTACTCATCAACTCAACCGAACACTATTGACTAAATAATAGGGATGTTTCCTGGGTCAAAAAGCAAGAGTTTTAATTAGTCCGTCAGTTAACTTATAAAAAAATACTCTACACGTATTTTTCACTTTTTCAAACTAATGAAAATTTAAAGAGATAAAGCGCGCCAAAGTTCTTAAGAAGAGGCCCGTGACGTCAATGAGTGCATAAAAGTGCCGCACTTTGTGACGTCGCGCGGAACTTCAACGCACCATAACTATGTAATTGTTTGTTAGATTGACAAAAATATAGGTGTCCAATATTTTTTGATATTAAACATAATGGACTAAAAATTTTTTTTTAGGAAACTAGCCTATTGATTACATTAAAAAAATATATCTAGAGAAAGCTTTTGATGCTAAATAGAGACTTACTTTTTACTGGTGTTCTGATGTATTTCAACAAGAGTGGTGTCGAGTTTTTCCATAACGTTCTCAATGTTTTCTTGAATAGATGCGCTCACACTCTCCGCTAAAATCAAAGAACAAGGATCAATACAGCTAAGTATAACAATAGAATAATGTTATAATTTTTATAAAGCCTGGTACCCCAAGCTACCCATCCTTATCGCTCGCGCGTAATTATATTGCTGTCGCGACTGTGCGACGCGCGCCCGCAGTGAGTGTGCGAGCGCGACAGCAACATAATTACGCGCGAGCGATAAGGATGGGTAGCTTGGGGTCATTGGACAAAATTCTACGTGCTCACGGACCAGGCTTTAGATACAGTTGATATTTACCTTTGCTTACAGGTGCATTTCTTCTAAACCACTCATTGACGCTGGAAACGCTCGGTCCACTCTCAGAGATGGACACAACAGTATCTTCTGCTTTCCTTCTTTTCACGTTGCTTATTACTGGACTCTTTGACTTTCTCTTCCTTGTTTTTTCAACTTCTATTACCGTAGAAGAACTGATTTCTTTATCCTCTATTTTTGACGATGAAGACCCTGGACTAGATATTTCTTCCTTTTTAGATTTATACAAGTAGTTTGGCTTCAAATCGTCTTTCAATTCTTTCTCCAAGTTACTGATGATGCTTCCTAGTTTCTTAATGGATGTGGCTGGTGACGTATCATTCCTTGCCTTGAAATCACTGAACAATTTTATTGGGGATATCAAAGACTTTCGGTTTTCTTGAGAGAGCTTAGTTTTGATTTTCTTGGGCGTTACATTTCTCGCTTCAAGTACGGGAGATACGGTACCATTACTAGTTTTTGTCGTATCTTTATTTTTATTGTAATCACCGCGAGATCGCAACCGTTTCGTATATTCCTTTTTGGGTTCTTCTAAATTAATATACTTTTCTTGCTTATGTTTCTTACTATGCTTTTCGTTAGGCTTGATAGATTCTTCAGATTCATTGTGTGATGGAACTTCTTCCTCAATCTTTTTCTTGTTTTTAGAATGAGTAGTTTTTGTCTTTTTAATGTCAGGTCTTCTATCGTTGCTTGAATTGAATTCCAATGATATCTTATCTATTTTTTGGACAGGCGACTCATCATTATCTGATGATGATTCTTTTTCCATAACATGTTTATTGTACTTTTGTTTTTGTTTAGTATCTAGTTGTGGGGTTGCCTTTGAGTAGCTGGAATCTGTATCCGAATTCCGCCGTGAGGGAAGCCATCGAGAAATATCTTCAAGCGAAAGTCGCGAAACGGACACAACTGGAGATTTAACCTTAGAACGCTTATCAGTGTTAAGAACTCGAGTGCTAACAGAATCGGTAGAATCTTTCCTTTCTTTATTCGCCGGCGACTCATTCACCACTTCTCTGAGTTTATCCAAGTAGTCTCTAACAGACTGGTTTTGATACTCGACGTCTAAATCGCGTGGTTTAATTTTTTCCGTGAGCAACTCTGCGTTAGGTGGTTGTTCATCGGAATCTCCATGAGCTGTTATCGGAGACTTTCCAACAGTTTCTATCGATACTTCCGACTTGGCATCCGATATTTTTGTCAAATTGATTACTTGTTGTGTTTCTCTCTTAGCCTTCTTTTTTTCAACTGCCTTTTCTTTCTTTACTCGTAGTATAGTAGCGCTGTCTGCCTTTCGATCATAATTTTCTGATAAATCTATAACAGCATTCTTAGCATTGGTCTTTTTCTTCGACGGCTTCTCTGAAACTTCGACAATTTCGTTTGACACATCGGATAATTTAGAGTAATTGCCAGCTTTGTTAAACTCATCAGTGATATTCATAGTTGGACTATAATTAATGTGTTCAACATCAGACAATAGATTTTGAGTCGTGTTTGTCTCATTTATGTACGCTTCAGGGCCATCTTGATATATTTCCTTAAATTTCTGTAGCATCTTTGCCGACACGGAATCATTGGCATCATTATTCGGTTCTTGAATAGTTTCTACATTTAGACCTGGTAAAGGACTGATAGTTCTATCATCGTTGTCCTTTTCAATGACTAAAGTATGCAGTTTAAGATTTTTCTCTTTTTTCAAAGATAATGCCTCTGTTCTCTTATTCTTCCTAATTGTTTTCTTCGGTTTTTCATTCGTCTCCTTAACCTCAACGACAGTATCATCTGGGATAGGTTCCATTTGTGGTTTTACGGGTAATATCAGCTTTGGTTCTTCAGGAATTCTTTCAGGTGGTTTGTCTAGTACTAGTGATGTATTTAGTTCTTCCAGGGCATTCTTCCTCATTTTTTCATCAATTATATCATTAACTGGTTTTACTAAACGTGATTTTGGCTGAGTTTTTTTGCGTCTAATTGTTCTTTTCTTTTTTGGGTCACTCTTTTTATTTGTTTCATCTGAAGATTTAGTTTCAGAATAATTGACGCGATTGATCGATCGGCCTAATCGAGTCGAAATCGAATCACCGCTGGCAACAGTTGTAGAACTGATGCGTTTTTGGACTTCGATTTTCTTCTGTTTAAAATCCTCGTCTTCACTATCGCTTGTGAAATTGTAAACAGCTAAATCATTTTGAGTGTTCTTGTCAACCACTGTAAGAGTATCTGGACATTCCACTTTGCTTTTCAAGTTATTGAAGATATCATTCATTTTTTTCGTGCGCGGTGAAGGAGAGTCTATAGTTTTAGCTGTGCTTTTTCTGTTACGCGGCTGTCTCAATCGTTTTTGGCGGTCCATCTCAATGTCTTTGTAGCTCGTAGCTTTATACTTCGGTGTGTGAACCTTGGACGTTTTGAAATCTTTATCCTCGTCCATCTCTGTCACTTGTATAACCCTCTCATGTTCGCTTTCGTCTTTGGGCGAGTACAATTTACGTTTTCTGCGAATCAACGCCGTGTCTAAGTCGACAGATCTGTTTGATGGCGATTTTGACACACGCTCAGGTGTTTTTAGAATATTTGCAGCAACATCTACATCGTCTGCTTTTTTTACTGGAGACAGGTTAGAAGCTATCTCCAACTCTAGTTTATTCTTCTTTTTCCTTGCATTCGCTCGCGTCTTAGCTGTTTTTTTAGTGTTGAATGTCAATTTGATGCTTTTTTGTTTTGTGCTTCTCTCTTTTGCATCCATGTTTTCAGAATTGTTGTCAGTGGATTTTTTCTCGATGTTACTTATATCTTTGAGCGGACTTTGCACATTTTCTTCAGGATTAATCACATCCATATCAGCAATATCGATCAAATCCATTTCCGTTGTTTCACGGTTCAGTATTTCTGCACATTTCTCAAAATCGTTACACACTTTGTCCACTATAGAGTTCAGGCATTCTATAATGTCTATATCGTAAACATCAATCTGTTCAACATCCAAATTGTTATCTTCACGAATCATAAGACAATCTTCGAATTGTTCACTTTCTGAACTGGTTTCGTTGATTTTTCTGGCTAAAGTTGGACTGATCACGATTTCCCCGCGATTGTTCTCTGAAATGTGCTGCGAAAAGAATTGTTCAACGTCTTCTACATTAAACATGTTCCCTTCATTCATATGTGTTCTATTTTCAATTACTACCTTCGCTTTTACATTCCTTTTTCTAACGTTCACAAAATTCAGCGGCGTATCATAGACAACGTCGTTCGACTCATCTGTAGTCGTATTGCTTATAACGGTGCAAGTTTTTCCAGCAACTGGTTTATTCTGAACCACATCAGTGTTTTCTTTCTCGATTGGTTTGTCTATTGCTGCATTGTTTATTTCAGTCGGTTCCTGTGTTTTTTTGTTATCGCCGGTGTTGATTCCGCTGTCTCTCAATTCTTTTTCGTTATCTTTCTGTAGTGCCTCTTGTACTAGCAAATCGACAATATTGTCAGGTTGGAAGTTTTTATTCTTGGTCAGGCGTTCTAGTGTGTCGTTTATGACGGATTCGTCTGATCCTATAGTGGCAACTAGGAGGCAGCTTGTGGAGTGATCGTCGTCTTTAGCTGCTGGTGAGAGGTACCGGCTGATTTTAGACTTGTTGTGGACCTCGCCGTCGCTTTGCGAGTTTCTGTCGGAGGATTTATTGCTTTTGTAGCAAACGCCAAAAGGCCGGTTGAGTTTGAAAGTACTTGTGCTGTTAAGGCTTGGTTTGTCGTCAGTTTCGCTGACCTCTGTGACTGTTGAAAGCTCTGGTAAAGCGCACACATGCACTGCTTCTTTGTCAAATTTATACTGCGGGAGTGATGCTAGTTTTTCATGAAGCTGGAAAATAGGTTTGTGTCAGAACATAATAATTTATACTTAGGAACAATGCTTAGAAAACTTTTCGAGTAAACCTTGCCTAAAAAATTCAAAATGAAATGCTCATACTACGTACCTATACTATGTCAGAACACAGTGTAAAATTTAACATACCTAAAAACACGCATTTAAATTTGAAGCATATTATGACATTAATTATGTACCAAAACCACATCATGATACAATGTGCAAGTGCATGCCTCTGCTTTTAATTTAAATTCGTCTTTATAGGTATTTTACATTTTACCCTACCTACATTGTAACATTATGTTTTCTGGAATGATATTCATAGTTTTCAAATAACTTGACACGGTGCATTCGTGTTAAATACCCATAAAGTATACAATAATAAATAGTTTATTTAGTTTTAGAAAATATCAAAGATACCTGTGCTAAAGAAGAAGTTGACGCAGTGGAAGGCGACTGCCATGCCGTCGGGTGTCTGGATCGTACCATATACCCTAAAAATATTTAATGGTATCACAAAATGTTTGTTTACTTATGAACGCAAAAGTTTTGGTGTCAATGTTTGTGAGATCTTTACAAAAGCAGGCGTTTGAAGGCCCAGAAATTCCAATATTGAAACTTTTTTATAGTAAATAATTATAACTGATTTTGTACTTTTTAAAGCCTTATTGCAGTAGTTACTACTTGGGAATCTCGACGCATATTTAATACTAGCTTTCCGCCTGCGGCTTCGCCCGCGTGGAATTTTGTCTGTCACAAAAAAACTTTATCGCGCGTATTCCTATTTCAAATACGGGGGATAAAAACTATCCTATGTCCTTTCCCGGGACTCAAACTATCTTTACGCTAAATTTCATCAGAATCGGTTCAGTGGTTTAGGCGTGAAAACAGACAGACAGAGTTACTTTCGCATTTATAATATTAGTATAGATAACATTGCAGTTAAAAAATGTCCTAAACATCGTTCGTACCTGATCGTTTACGCTTCTGCACTTCGATGGGATGAGAGAACCGAGTGTCTTCCTCCTAAAATAACAATACAAAATAAACAACAACAACAAGGTTAGAACTTACAAAAAACACAACAATGTCATTTTGCAAAAATGACGAAGTACCCACATATTAAGGTGTATTTTATTAAAAGTAATATTAACAAAAACAACGTCATCTGTTATGATGTCGCAGAATCGAGTATAGTTTGTTTTTTTACCCCCTTTAGAAAAAGTAACATTCATGACAGTTTTATAGCCTGACCAGGAACATAAAAACCCTCGCCATGTTGCGGAAAACTAATGGTACTAATTTCTTTTAATGGCAACAGTAACTGAAAACTTCATTGACATGTCACCTTGCATGTCAGTCTATTGCTGTCAAAGTGTAAACAAACTTTATTTTAAATGTGCGCAATTGATTTTGTGAATTAAGTAAATTGCTAAAATCTTTTTATAGTCGTGAAAGAAAAGTGGTTCACAATGTGTTAAAGTATTTATCGAAGAGAAATACTAAGGGTTCGGACATTCATTCGGTTCATTGAATAATGTTTCCGACAAAGGTTGTCAAATTGACTGACATGTTTATCGTATAGTACAGTCCACTATGATTTGTTTCAAATACCTATTTTAAAGTTTTTTGTCACTTTCTAAGTGTTGAATTTTATGGAATTGGTAAAGAAGTACCGAGTTTGAAGCGTTCATGAGCAGACATTGCAGTTGAATATTCAAGTTCTGAATTTGATTATTGATGAATAATAAAATAAATCCTACTAACTCGATTGATGGTTTCATTTAATTTATTTAAACCATGTTACCTATAATAATATTTTTTCGTTTATTTATGAAAATATCAAATTAGCCCGTAATCCTGAACCCTGATACATAAAGTTAGCCTATTAATTTAACACAGGTACGACTGTACTCAGTGTTGCACTATCAAATGCAATTGACGCGCCTCTATGCCAGGGTTTTTATGTTCCTGGTCAGGCTATAATTCTGAATTAGTTTCGCTTCAACTTTTTTAGTTCGTGAATCGATCGCGAAAATACCTAAATGTCTGTTTTTTTAAGCGATAAGAGTCAATGACGCAACGGAAGAACAAAACACAAAATAATATGCCCAGTTTAGTAAAATATCAAAATTATTTACCAAACTATTGGCAAGTTTTCTGCTGCTTTCATAATTTTCTTGCGGCGACAAGGATGTGGGCTTATTCAAATCTAGTAGCATCTGTAAAAAAATATTAAATTGAAGAAGGGTAGGTAAGTGACGTCATGCCTTCCTTGATATTCGCTAAAACATAAACGATGGAAATACAATATAAAACTTATTTATTGAAGACTAGCTTCTGCCTGCGGCTTCACCCGCGTGAAATTGAGTCTGTTAAAGATCGTCTAAATTATAGCCTATATGTTATTCTGGGTTATAAACAATAGGTAATACTGTAAAGTTTCACCAAAATCCGTTCAAAATTTTTTGCGTGAAAGAGTAACAAACATCCAGACATCCAAACTTTCGCATTTATAATATTAGTAAGATAGCTTGTGTCCGCGGCTTCGCCTGCTTAAAAAAAAGGTTTTTCATATCGTAGTACCTACATTGGCTGTAACGAAAAGGTAATGGATACTGAAAATTTAAATGGCGATAATAAAATATAGTTGCAAACAAAAAAACATCATTTAGATTTATCATCGCATTATTTTTAGCCAATCATACTGATAATTCTTATTTCTAAGTACCTAATTATATGACTCATTGATAAATTACGGGAATCTTTATTGATGTCATCGCACTGAAATACATTTTGATAGCATATAAGATTCAATAATTAATAATTCTGATTAATAAAACTACACTTAAGTATTCTACACTCAAGAATAGTTTTTTAGGTAGGTACCCCACTATACGTTTTTTACTTATGCATGCCCCAATAATAAGGTCTGATTTGAATAATCAATTTAGGTATAGATCGTTTCACGAAGACGCGCCCTACCAATTTTTGGTCGAGGGAAGCGCGGGGTGTGGGGAGTTTGATCCGAGCAATCCGAGCGTCATTATTGTAGTGTGCGTGTCATTAAGCATAGGCACAACATTTAACATTATCTACATAATTATTTGGAATTTGGACAGAGCAAAATCAAAGCGACAGATCTAAACAGTTGCTACCTTCTTTCGCATATTTTCGCTAACTAAATCACACCACATTTGATTATTTTGATCCAAGACAATGATTGTGTTTTTATCTTGAAAACAATCAATCAATCCTATATCACATAATGTCGTATTACAAATTTGGATCTTAACACGAATACACAAACCACAAATTCCTTAAAAAAACATAAATAATCATCACCTCATGTCGGCATAGGTACCTAGACCTACATAAGGTACAGTCAAATAAATCGTGACACCCAAAGAGGCCAAAATGTTGAAAACACACCCTTATTCCAGTTGTAATAAAGACGTGTTGCGAACTTTTTGGCTTCTTTGAGTGTCACGAATTGTTTAATGCTGACTGTACTGACATAATCATCGATAAACAAAGACGGTAGCAAATCAAGCGAAACACTGTGGCATCGTTATATCTTTTGTACATACTAAAGTCTGGTCACGGAGCACGTAGAATTTTGTTCAATGACCCCAAGCTACCTATCCTTATCGCTCGCGCGTAATTATATTGCTGTCGCGACTGTGCTACGGGCGGCCGCAGTGAGTGTGTGAGCGCAACAGCAATATAATTACGCGCGAGCGATACAGATGTGTAGCTTGGACAAAATTCTACGTGCTCAGGGACCGGACCATACTGGAAATTTTCAGTGTGCAATTTTTTAGGAGTGACTCAGAATCAGTAACTTAATCGATTTACGTACCCAAAGAAAACTTTTTTCTTTAATATTTAATTGTTTTTATCCGCTGTGCACGGTTTCAAAATTGGCTCACGTGGATAATTTGCTTCGTTCATAGAAAAAAAAACTGTAAACACAGTTAACTACAAAGCATTTAGACGTAATGGTACGCGAAAAAAAGCCTTAACTTTTAAAAATTAAGATATGGGCGGGTGCCCATTATGGCGAATTATACTTTCAACAATTTTTTTCGCGAAAAATACCGCGATTTAGAATAATTAAAATAAAGTTGTATTGTTAAATTGTTCTAAGAGCTTATTAAAAAAAAAGTTGATACTTATTACACAATCAACCTGTATTTAAAAATAACAGTAGGTACCTGTACAATCACGTACCTGATACTTGTGACCGAAGACATCGCGAAGTGCCCGGTCGATTTGTCGCAAGTCTGTGTGCGAACTGACGACTACCTTCACTTCGCAGCTGTCGTCGATCGTAACCCCAGACGGACTAAGCCGAGGGGGATGTGTTGTGTGTACCAGTAACGTTAGTTCTGATGCATCCCTGAAACAAAAGGTTACAATGAAGCCAGGAGTCTCGTATGATGCTCCAGGATTAGCAGAATCGTGTTAAGGCATCAGTGAAATGGGCTATAATCGACCGTCGCAAATCCTTGTATTAAAGGTTGACGCATAGTACAGGTGTAATGAGTCGAGTTGAAGACTAGCAGAACTCGTCAAGGAAAGAATGAAGGTTCTGTTTTAGTGAACAAATAAGATGTTCGGACTTTTAATAGGAAGTGCTTAAATCCGTTGTTTCATCTTTGATTGCGCGTAAACTTAACCGCGATACCGAATTGCACATCAGCTGGAATGAAAATGGAGCGTGACTGGAGTGTGAACTAGAGATGAAACGCTAATGCATTGGAGGCATTACAAATTAGCGCAATCGGGACCCTGGTTGGCTGCAGTGCAGTGACGTCATGGACAAGTAGACGTAGACGTAGAGTGCAGTGACGTCAAGTCAAACATCGTTCTTATGACGGTTCCATTCGTTCTTTTTGGGGTTGAATGGCCTAATTCCAGCTGAAATCCATCTGCAATCTTTAACCATTACTTGGTAATCTACTCCTGACCTGGTGAGCTGCAGCGTGGTGACGTCACGCGCGTGCAGTATGAGGCTCTCGCACGCGGGCGCGTCGCGCGCGCACAGCGCGTCCACAAGCCGCGGGTCGAGCACGACGGACGCGCTGTCGTCACACGAGTAGAGGAGTCTCTTAATGAGCGCACACCTATGGTCTCAGCAATGCTAATTCTATATAAAGCCTGGTCCGTGAGCACGTAGAATCCCGTCCAATGACCCCAAGCTACCCATCCTTATCGCTCGCGCGTAATTATATTGCTGTCGCGACTGTGCGACGCGCGCCCGCAGTGAGTGTGCGAGCGCGACAGCAACATAATTACGTGCGAGCGACAAGGATGGGCAGCTTGGGGTCATTGGACGGGATTCTACGTGCTCACGGACCAGGCTTTACCTAATTTTTAGTTACCTAAGATGAGTTCATCGACCTCCACCTCCAGCTGTGATAGTCTGACGTCACGCGCAAAGCCAAGCGACTTTAGGAGGTTCTCACCTGGTGAGCTGCAGCGTGGTGACGTCACGCGCGTGCAGTATGAGGCTCTCGCACGCGGGCGCGTCGCGCGCGCACAGCGCGTCCACGAGCCGCGGGTCGAGCACGACGGACGCGCTGTCGTCACACGAGTAGAGGAGTCTCTTAATGAGTACACACCTATGGTCTCGGCAATGCTAATTCTATATTACCAGGCCTGTTCATCTCCGCGAGTTTACATCGAAAACAAAACACGCAAGTTGGCCCACCTACAGGATACTATTCGACAAGGCCTCACATACGAGCGAACATTGACTCACGCACGTGTACTTATTCTTGTGTATGATGGAAGAAAATAAAGAGAATGGTGTACTAAATACTGTGCAGTATTTAATTGCCTTAATAATAATAAAAACAAAAAATGTACTTTATTAAGTTGCCTCAAGACACTGAGAGGTAAATACGAGTAAGTAGTTAATATTATTCATGATAATTCATGCTAAGCCATTTACCGCAGTTTGGCACCTCACGTCACTTCATTTTACCGAAGTCAGCCCTATAGCTTCGGCGCAGTACCGATCACTGACGTTTGTCAACAAAATGTTGCTTGACAAGCTAATTGAGAGCCTCCACCTCCAGCTGTGATAGTCTGACGTCACGCGCAAAGCCAAGCGACTTTAGGAAGGTTCTCACCTGGTGAGCTGCAGCGTGGTGACGTCACGCGCGTGCAGTATGAGGCTCTGGCAGGCGGGCGCGTCGCGCGCGCACAGCGCGTCTACAAGCCGTGGGTCGAGCACGACGGACGCGCTGTCGTCACACGAGTTGAGGAGTCTCTTAATGAGTACACACCTATGGTCTCGGCAATGCTAATTCTATATAAAGCCTGGTCCGTGAGCACGTAGAATCCCGTCCAATGACCCCAAGCTACCCATCCTTATCGCTCGCGCGTAATTATATTGCTGTCGCGACTGTGCGACGCGCGCCCGCAGTGAGTGTGCGAGCGCGACAGCAACATAATTACGTGCGAGCGACAAGGATGGGCAGCTTGGGGTCATTGGACGGGATTCTACGTGCTCACGGACCAGGCTTTACCTAATTTTTAGTTACCTAAGATGAGTTCATCGACCTCCACCTCCAGCTGTGATAGTCTGACGTCACGCGCAAAGCCAAGCGACTTTAGGAGGTTCTCACCTGGTGAGCTGCAGCGTGGTGACGTCACGCGCGTGCAGTATGAGGCTCTCACAGGCGGGCGCGTCGCGCGCGCACAGCGCGTCCACAAGCCGCGGGTCGAGCACGACGGACGCGCTGTCATAACGCGAGTTGAGATCCAACCATGTCTCTCTCTTCTCTGTGCCCTAAGAACAATAAACCATTGATGTAAAACTCACTGTCACAGGATTTTGCGACAAAAACACTTTTATAACGAACAGATATTTACCCTCTTGCTCTTGCTAACTCGGTTGCACGAGTCGAGGCAGTATTATTTTTAGGCCTTTTTGGAGAGTCAAGAAAATCATCCGACTGGTCGCGTTCAGATGAATGTAATTCTTAAACGCAATGGTGAACTTAAATGAATTTTTTACCAGTTTCTAGTGAAGAATTAAGCTACCTGCCCAATTTTTTTCAGATTTTTGTGATGGCTAGAAATATCCCATTCTCATTACTTTTTTAACCAAGTATCAACAAGAATGACTTACCGATAACACGGCCACAGAGCCCACGGTTATTTTGCGGCATAAAAACGACGTTACGAGACTGCCAGTAGCGTTGAACGCGTTCAAAAAATCTCTGGCGTCCTGGAACAAAAATAATATGCAATGTTTATAGTTTTTAAAAATTTTACATAATAAAAGCTTTTTCTCAGATGGGACTTGATCCCATGAATTTTCACTACTCTAAGCATTGAGCTACAGTGGTATTAGACGCCAGGGTGACCACAAGTTATGAGAGTTTTAATATATTCAGGACCAAGTAATTTATCTACACAACAGACGGACTTGGACTAGAGCTATGTTAATAAGATTTCAATCATCTTTTGGGTCACCGATTAGAAGATTGTTGATAGTACTCATCTCAGATCAATGATCTGAGGTACTCATTCATGAGCTATGATACCAATACCACCCCCTTCCCCCCTTATCATAGCGTGTCAGGGGCCAAGTCCCCTGAGGCCTGAGACATAACCCTAAATACGCTAATGCTGACAGTTTATGGTATAAGTTCGTCAAAGGTCTTTCAGGAAAAGTTGCAACGCTTTCCTCCCGACCACTTCAGCGGGAACCACCTAGCAGCGGCTGCTTGCCTCACAGACGCGTCATCTCGCGGCAGTACGGGACTATTCCCACCTCTCGTTCCCACCACTGCAACTCCTGTGTAGCCAGGATCTACAGCTTGACCGCCACAAAAACCCAACCAATGAAGGTCAAGTTTGTCCCGGGGGAAAGTTAAACTGTCATTGGACCCGCAACTAAATTAATCAGAAGAACATAGGAGTTCGAAATCTCGCGGCAGTAGCCAGCAGAGTACCAACTTTTGACCTATATCACAGCTTAGACCTATCTTCTTCTCCTATGTTCTTCTGGTTAATTTCGTTGCGGGTCAATGACAGTTTAACTTTCCCCCGGGAGAAACTTGACCTATATTGGTTGGGTTTTTATGACAAACTGTAGATCCTGGCTATACAGGACTTGCAGTCGTGGAAAGTGGGAACGAGAGGTGGGAATAGTCCCGTACTTAGACCTATAATCTACTTTCATCATCATCATCATCATTTCAACCACAGGACGTCCACTAAGCTGCTGAACATAGACCTCCCCCGATGACTTCCACAATCGCACGGTTGGTAGCGGCCTGCATCCAGCGTCTTCCTGCTACCTTTATCAGGTCGTCGGTTCACCTTGTGGGTGGACGTCGCACGCTCCCACTATTTTACTTTAGTTGCGAATTATACCTTGAATCCTAGAGGCGGATTTGCCTATAATGCAGGGTGTGCGTTGCACACGGTTCTAGAGAGCGTCGTGCGCCACTGGCGCTCCCGAGTTTACTAGAGGGCACTAGGTTGATGATTGCACACGGGCGCTACATGGGATGGAGACGCCTCTATTGTACATTGGCTAAAGTCCGCTCTCACTCACTGCGGTCGCCCGTCGCACAGTCGCAACAGTAATATAATTACGCGCGAGCGATAAGGATGGGTAGCTTGGGGTCATTGGACGAAATTTAATGTGCTCGGCGACCGGACTTCAGCACTTTGCTGTCACCAGAGTGACTATAAGTTATGAAAGTCTCAAGACACTCAAAACTGCTTTTCTCTGAAGTATGGAAGAACTTGGAGATATTAGGGAGTGAACATCAAAAAATTATTTTCGATCACCTGTTCAGTCTTCCAAGTCCAATAGGGACAGTTTTAGCTAACAAAAATAGAAAGAAGATATTAAAAATGAGTTCTTACCTGAAAGAAGTTCTGCCAAGGTCTCTCCAGGAACAGTTGCAACGCTTTCCTCCCGACGATTTCAGCCGGAAACCACCTAGCAGCGGCCGCTTGCCTCACAGACGCGTCATGCCGCGGTAATAGCCAGCGAAGCAATGCTTCTAACATGCAGTACTGAGTGGGAAGGTGACCGCAGGAAGCCAGGAGAGAAGCTAGTTTGGTGCTAGAAAGATATTGTTAGCTTAAGCAGGTTTATGAACAGACAATGGCACATGAAGCTAAAGTCCGGTCGCCGAGCAGATAGAATTTCGTCCAATGACCCCAGGCTGTCGCGACTGTGTGACGGGCGGCCACAGTGAGTGTGCGAGCGTGACAGCAATATAAGTATTTACATGCAAGCGATAAGGATGGGTAGGTAGCTTGGGGTCATTGGACGGAATTCTATCTGCTCGGCGACTGGACTTTTATCATTATCATAATGTATTATTTTTATGTGCTAATCAATAAATAATATTCAATCATTTATTGCATCCATAATGTTACAGTATACAATCAGTGTAATAAAAGTAAAGAAACTAATTTATTATATTAGTAAAAAGTTTTTAGAAGTTAAAGCAATGATATTTATTATTGTTCACAGTTTGCAAAATACAACATTTGTTTAGACTCAATAAGAAAAACTATAGAAATTAATTTATCATTCATGGATTTTAGAAATGAAACAATCAAAAGTGAATAATACTCACAAATACCCTTCGAAGTGAGTCCTCAATGCAAATCTTATCTCTCTACTAGACTCAGCGCAGCACAAATTGAGGGAGTATAAGATCTCACAGCGCTGGGCTGTATCTGGTTCGGAGCTGGTTGCCAGGTCCAGAAGACACTCGGCCGTGCCTTCCACTAGTATGTCAGGAAGGCTCTTGTCTTTCACTCTCATGCTCTGTTAGTACAATCATAAACAGATATATTTACATAAAAAAAGATATGTAAACAAATTAAACACATAGCTATGTGGTACAAAATTTTGTTATTGTTGCAAAATTGCTTCTATAACAAAGGACATAAGAGACCACTGTATTTAGCATAATATGCTGTCGTGTGTACTTTAGAAAAAAGTGGTCAGAGGGGAGTTAAATAAGCTGGACTCTACTTACTTTTATGAACTTGAGAAGCGAATTCAAGAATGTCCACCAATGATGGCTGTGCTTTATGAGGTGTTTGCGCATAGCATCGAGCCAGTACTGCAACAGAGCCACCAGTTCCTTGCCAAGTAAACCCCATGTCTTGGACACTGGTTGTTCCACCATACGTTCAAACAAAATCAACGCCGCACCATTTCCCTCGCATTTGTTGAAGTACTACAAAGAAATATTTATTGAATATGAATTTGTATTGTATGTTGTGGTTAAAATAAACAAATAGATGTTAAAACTTACTTCAATCTCCAAAGATCTAACTTTTTTTAGCAAGAGCACAGAAGACATGTTAAACTGGATTTTTAGGTTTTTGTGTGAGTTATTGACTATTTCCTGTGTAACGGAAATATAGTCGTTCAAATTGCTCACATGTTTCAGCTTTGCGAGATCCATTTCTGGAAATTTTCACCGTGAAAAAATCTTTACGATCACCCGGATTCACCCGCGAAAATTTATAAATTGCCGTACATGATATTGCCATATTTAAAAAAAAGTTTCAACCCTCTTTTGTCTATGGTCCCAAAAGAGATGAGTAGACTTAACCCTTAATCAAATAGTTGAAGAAAAAGAAATCCATCATTGAACAAAATGTGAACTTAGCTAAATACGTAACCTAAATTGTGTAGATATTCCATTTTCCAATTAAAACTAATGCAAGAGTAAAACGACTATTACTCTTAAACTAACTGATCTATCTTAACCGCTAAAGTTTTCGTTGAAAGTTCATAAAAGTACTAATATAATCACGAATTTTTACAGATTTTTCAAGCCAACAGTTTAGTTTTTAGAGGGAGGGGGGGAGACGGACATAACGAAACTTTAAGGGTTCCTTGTCAGGACTACAGAACCCTACAAAAGAAACACACGGACCGGGACAAGTAGGTACTTACAACCTATGGGTCTAGACAAAGTGCACATTTTAATCGCAAACCAGTCGAAAAGTGGTCGAAAAGCCCCTTTTTTGTATGGAGTTTTGACGGATTCGATTTTCGATTCGATCAAAAAGTGCGTTTTGTCTAGGGGGGCTAAGATGTTTTTATTTATGGTAATATTATGTCATTGCAATAAACGCGATTTCAAAAATTAGAAGAATTTTATTATTTAATAATTCAAATTCAAATTCATTTATTTGCACAGGAACATGGTAAAATACAGATGTCAGATAAAAACAATCAGGTTCAACATGTTTCGTCTACAAGACATGCAAAAATTTCATAGTCAATTACTTAATATAGTTTTATCAAATCATGCATTTTACATAATATTATAAATAATCCGTTTTTATTAGGCCATTTCATAATTCATAGTCAATAATAATAATAAATTTATAATTTTTATTTTAAGAGTTCGACTATGATTATGACTAACATATTAAAAAAAAAAGATTTTTGTACTTTTCTTGCGCGTTATATCTTTCTAGGTCAGGGGTGGCCAAACTTTTGACCTGTGAGGTCTACTTATGCTAGAAAATATTTCTTGCGGTTGACTGCAAGGTAGAGTTTAGAAGAGCGAAATAAGACATTTTAGCAGCAACAATACTACCACGTTACGACCGACCGAAACGTGTGAGTACCTATTTTATAGGTAGATAGATACCTATAAAATATTTTAAAATAATTTCAGTTTATTTAACTCTCGTGGGCTACCAAAATCGTCTTCACGGTCGACCGGTAGACCGCGGTCGACCTCTTGGCCATCACTGCTCTAGGCTATGAAAATAGCTTATTTTATACGTTTATTTGATTTTATTGACTTTATTCAATTAAAGGCTTATCATTGTTTCATTTCAATAAATTACATTGTTTTGTTTTTTATACAAAGTTATAAAAGTGGTTGCAAAGTTGTCGAAAAGCCCTTTTTTGTATTGGGTTTTGGGGTATTTCGCCAAAAATGGTCAATTTTGCCTAATTTCCTTGGTATGAAAAAATTTTTTGTTTTTAACTATTTTTAGTTTCCCACTGCATTAAGTAGCAAAAACTAAGCTAATATATCTAAAAGGGGTGTCATAATTCGTTTTAGAAACAAAGTTATAAGGTCATGAATTTTTGGTAGCCAAGGAAATTATTATAAATAATTGTTTCTCGTAAGTTTTCTTCTGTGGTTTGCTTTTTTTGTTCGACCCATTTTTGTGTACCTTCGCAAGCAAACATTCCAATGAATATTGTATCATTACGACCTTTTTACACAACTAAGGAAGATAAATGCAGTAGATTGAGTTAAGAGTTAAAAACAAGTTGTTTTATATCTATTCTGATACCCATTTCTTAAAATGAAAATTTTAAACTTATTCTAATAAAGAAATACTCAAAATTTGACTTTACGCCGAATTAAAAATGGTCTGTTATAATTTCCTAGGCCATTTTATGCCACGGAAAACAAGGAAATTAGGACCAAAGAAATTAGATTTATGCCTAAAAGACACCACAGACAAAAACCTATTTACCCTATGCATTTACAATTTAAATCATGGGTTTACCCCTACAGACACTACATCTGTGTAAATAAACAATAAAATTAATCCATTGTTTAGCTGAAAAAAACCGTCCAAAGAAATTGACTTTTTAGTAAACAAAAACCCAAGGAGGGACCTACTTAAGCGATTTGTCGCGAAACTGATCAACGAAGTAGGTACTGTCCTGCCTCGATGGCCTCTTGGGACGAAATGGCCGAGTGTAACGGTGCAGTGCATTACATTCTAAGTTCTTTCGTTTCGTTACTAAAATGGTCGAAAAGAAGACCCAGGGAAATTATACTTTTGACTCGGACAAGAACTTAACTTCACTTTACTTCCTTCCTTTAAGTATTTGACATTTGAAGTTTTTATTTTCCGATAGCCAAACGTTTCTCAAATGTAAAGAGAGTGCTATTAGAATGAAATTACGCTTCAATTTGTTATAATGTGCCTTCATTTTGGCAAACAACAGTAATGGACATAACAAGGAAATTAGAAAAACGACTTTTGATTAAGTTTTTCTACGGTATTATTTGTAGTTTCTGCTATTGTAATAGCAAAAACAAATAAAACTTTTGATGAACTTTCCCATAAAAATAGTTTTATACATATAGATATAAAAAAACATGTGTTCGCCTGCCTGGACACAGAAAATTTACTGTTTTGGCGAAATACCCTTTGACGGATTCGATTTTCGATTAGATAAAAAAAAGGGCATTTTGTCTAGGGGGGTCTTAAGGGGGGCAGTAGTAAATTTTATTAGAAATGATTTCCCATTATTTTCCACTGCAATTTCCCCCACATTTTTTATATACTTGAAATCTACGCACAAAATTTATCCAAGAAACGATTTAAGATTTTATTTCTCAATTTATTTTTTTTTTCAATTTATTTAAGGGTTAAAATTATCCATGGAAATTGATCATTGCAAAAGAATCGAAGGTTTTAGAAACGTAGCCCCAGAAAAAAAACAAATGTCAGAAATTTTGACGTTAAAATCCTAGCTTTGGATTGGTTGATAGTTCAGCATAAAAAGCAATGTGAACATTTTCATTGGTCGGTTTCTAGTTCTTTCTACGACTGTTCCATCAATTTTCAGTTGAAAAAAACCAGTGACGGCTTGTAGAGGAATTTTGTTCGTCGTCGTTCGTCGGTTTATTGATGAACGTAGCTATCTGCTTCCAAGTATCGTAAATAAAAGTAAATATGGTGTGATAACGTAATGGTGAATCATTTTACGGCGCGCGTACTCGGCGCCGCACAATCACTTAAAAGTCAGTTAGCTGCTATGCTCGCGTCGTAGCGGACGGATTTCACACTCGCAACCAGTCGATATTATGTGGGCCGAACGAGAAACCGAAACAAAATTTTTACCATTATGATGCCTATGGTGTACACAGTGTATGGTCTTGCCATATTTTTCATAATCGCGTGGGTGTGCGTGTGGTTGATTCACATAATGGCCCTCTCGTATTCGAAGTGGAAGTTGCACCGGACCGTGGACCGGTCTCCGCCGGAGCAGCCGTACCCCGGCGTGTCGATCCTGAAGCCGCTGACCGGCGTCGACCCGAACCTGCTGTCGAACCTGGAGACGTTCTTCACGCTCGACTACCCCACGTACGAGCTGCTGTTCTGCGTGGAGACCGAGAAGGATCCGGCGGTGATGCTCGTGAAGCACAGTCTCCTGACGAAGTACCCGAACGTCGATGCGCGATTGTTTATCGGGGGGATGCGCGTCGGGGTGAACCCGAAGATAAACAACATGCAGCCGGCGTTTTTGGCGGCGAAGTACCCGCTGATTCTCGTCAGCGACGCCGGCATCCGGATGCGAGACGACTCGCTGCTGGACATGGTTCAGCACATGCGGGAGGACGTCGCCATAGTGCATCAGATGCCGTTCGCGTACGACGCGGAAGGTTTCGCGGCTGTTTACGAGAAGGTGTTCTTCGGGACGGCGCAGGCGCGCATGTACATGGGCGCCGACTTCCTTGGCATCAACTGTCACGTGGGGATGTCCTCGCTGGTGCGGCGGTGCGCTCTGGAAGAGATGGGCGGGCTGGCGGCGCTGGCGGACTACTTAGCGGAGGATTACTTCATGGGGAAGGAGGTGGTGTCGCGCGGCTGGCGGATGCGAGTGGCGTCGCTTCCCGCGCTGCAGAACTCGGGCTCGCGGTCGGTGGGCGCGCTGCAGGCGCGGCTGACCCGCTGGGCGCGGCTGCGGATCGCCATGATCCCGACGACGGCGCTGCTGGAGCCTCTAAGCGAGTGCCTGCCGCTGGGCGCCGGCGCCGCGTGGGCCTCCGGCGTCCTCTTCGGAGCCGAACCTCTCCCGTTCTTCCTAGTGCACGTGCTAGTGTGGTTCCTCTCGGACTGGCTCATGCTGCGCACGGTGCAGAACGGCTCGCCTCCGTTCACGAAAGTGCAGTTCCTCCTCGGCTGGGTGTGGAGCGAGTGTTGTGCGCCCTTCGTGCTGGTCGCGGCCGTGCTCAACCCCGAGATCTCGTGGCGGACTCGCTCTTACAAGCTCGACTGGGGCGGCCGGGCTCACGAACTGAAACCCAAAACTCAAAAGCTTTAATTTGTGAAGTACACTTGATTCTGAAATGCTTGACGTGTGATTCCCATTGAATGGTGTGTGCGTGATTTGTAGTATAAGTTTTTATTTATAGTTTTCAAATGGATGAATACTTGTTACTTTTGTTTTAGAAAGATATGTACATTTTTAGAAGATACTGTTGTATTTAATTTTGTGGTAATGATGATTACCGTTACAGTTAGAATTTTGCCATATTGCATTGAGTACAATATTTTTATCAGGAGCTGATAAGAATAGACTGGCTTATGGTTCCATGTTGAGTGATTCAATATCCTCATTGATTATTTATCAGTTATTTATTCGTAACAAGATGAGTGCTTTGCGATGAGTCATATCTCTTTTGAAGCCTTGAGCTATATTTCTTTTGAGTGCTTTGATTCTCTGAATGTTTACCTAAATAAATAATTATTTTACGATGCTAAATGCAACTTCAATTTTAAATTGTATGCTTGTGATAATCTGAGTGATTAGCCACAAGGTTTATAATTGTACAATGTTACAATTACCACAGAAATTAATACTAGCGCATTGCATAACTTCCTTGTATACTACTTGTAATTGTATCTAAAGCTAAGTTAATTATTTTGTACCAGAATGTTACCTACCTATCCTTAATGACTGTATTATAAATGTTAACAAAACATACAGGGTGATTTCTCTCTTGAAAAATTAATATACTTTTTAATGTCTACAATATTTGGTAAAGTACCTTTGGACGGAATGTATAGGATTTGAAGTGTGCAATATTTTAAACGATCTGTTTCCCTAATGCGAAACCCAATTTAGATTTATTGTGGCAAACAGTCTACATTAATATCATACTATGTTCTGTATCACTTGTAACAATGCCCTATGTAACCTCATAAATATGTAAACTTGCTTAACGTAGCACCTAATGTTACTTTTAGGCACACTGATATGATAGAAATAGATTTGCGAGAAGGGAGACTGAATTGGGACCAAGTGAGGGGGTAAAGTAATTTGTTTACGATGAGAATGTTCGCTGACCAGTTCGTTTATCTGAAATGATAAGATTGTGAGTCCAAAGGTATACTGCTGCTTTAAATTCAATATACCTCTGCAATACTATTTTAAGTCTTTTAAACGACATCAATCATAATACTGTAAAATTAATGTGATTTTCGGGCTTTGTATTTATTGTTTCAATCACAATTTTGTACAGTCAGCTTCTAATACTTTGTGACACCCAAAATGGCCAAAAAACTGACAATACAACCTTATTTCAATTGTAACTAAGATGTGTTGTGTTCTTTTTGGCTACTAAGGCCCAGAACACACGGTGAAACGCAACTGCAACGAAACTGCAACTTCTAGTTACTTTTGAGTTGCACCTAAGTTTCTGCTATAGATTCCGTTGAGAGACCACACATGATGCGACCAGTTTGACCAGTTCAAATCGGTTTCAAGTTTCGTTGCAGTTGCGCTTCACTGTGTGTTCTGGGCTTTAGGGTGTCACAAACTATTAGACGCTGACTGTAACACACAGGCTTCTGACGCATTTGTAATAATGTCTGCATCAGAAGTCCTAATTTGATATACAGGCTTAAACTATCTTATTCATGCATGACCTTCATGAAAGAGGATAAATACAGCCATATTTAAAATGTACGATTTGGTTAATATATCCCACACATTTTGCTTTAAGCTGTATATCATATCAACCCAGCTGAGTCAATAACCTGCTTTAATTAATCTAATTCAAATGTATGCCTAATTATTTATGTAATAGTGTTGGTACTTTTTTACAACCCATTAACCATATTTGCCGTCGCTATGGGTCCCCGAAACTTGATGCTTTCGTGCTAGCTACAATCTGTACTCTATATCCACCGAAACATTTTTATCTGTCAATATTTTATTTCACATACGGAAATAACGAAGACATTTTTAGTACTCTGACAATTTTTTTTACAAAACATGTAACACTAAAGCTTGTGACACACAGAAGGCGCAGATAGAGCACGTTAACCAGTGTGCTTCAAATTCGCATCATTGAAGCCATTAGACAGAATAATAATAATAATTCGTAATTTTAATTTAATTGCTAAATAAATAAAGTTGATTTTGCATTTCCTTCCGATTGTAAAGGGACAAATACCTATACTTATTTTGAACTAACTTGTTTGTCACCAAAATATCTGTTCCACGATGCGCATCTGTGTGTCACAAGACTCACAAGGTTAATGCTGATGTCCATTTATCCGACCTTGGGTTTTTTAACATAAATAAAAGAGAGTAGACCACAATTGTTATGGTGCAGTATTGTTATTATTACCTAATAGCTTTTTATTTATATTTCATTATGAAACATGGAAGTTTAAAGATCTCATTGAAATAACATTATTAAAATAAATGTAAACATTGTTTATTAAAGCCTGACTTTGTTTTTATTTGCGTATTTTTATTATTATATGTAACACCTCATAACAGTAAAAATAAGTGCTTTATTTATACATAAATCAGTGAAGTAGGTATGTCGTAAAAGTTAATACATTTTTAACTGTTTACATTCATTTTATTGTGTTATAAAATATATTAAATACATTACATAAGCACAAAAAAAGTCTTATGGCAGCTTCATAAATACACAGAAAGACATTTTATTAAATTATAGTGAATTAAAGTGAGTTAATATATTTTAAACGCCACTCAACTACAAGTAATGACAGGTGTAATAGAACCTAATGCTCGTACACATTAGATAACATTTTAAGATTGAATGCCCATCAATTTTTAATTTTGCAGCACACCTACCTACCTACGTATAAAGCCAAGGTCACACCCACGAATATACAGGATGGCCCATTTATTTACAGGGTGGCCCATTTATTTACAGGGTGGCCCATTTATTTACAGGGTGGCCCATTTATTTACAGGGGTCCAAATTTTGTTTAAATTAAAGAACCTTATAACCTGAACCTGACTAAAAATATTTTTGGACCAGCCTGTATTATACAAAACCAACCTACCTGTCTAATCCAATCTCGGTTAATAAAATTCCAATACGAAAAATGAGCTTATGCTCCGATAACCAATGTGTCACCAACTGGAATAGCATTTAAATTATAATTCACTGTAAATACCAGGGTTCCAGGGTATTTTAAACGGCAGTGATTGATGACATGTACTTATTTTTTTCGTGGCAATCATGTGGGCTAGTAACTGATAAAAAGAAGATAAGTTAATATATTGTTTTAATTAGGTATCACGCCTAAAACAATGTTCTATGGCGCCTGGATAACGAGTGAACTTAGTTTACGGAAAACAAAAACACTTAAACATTACCTATTATTATTACACTTTACATACATACAATACAACTCTGTTAAAGATATTTAATCTCACAGTTAGCATATTAGGCGCAGACCACAGACATTTTGTCGGTCGATAGTTGGGTGGGGCTGTTAATCAGTATGGACATGTATGAAAGTTACATTACACCGATTGGCATCGGCCGGATCTTCATACAAATTAAAATCAGGCCCAACTATCGGCCAACTAAAAGTCGGTGGTCTGCGCCTAGGCTAACGTTCGACGAGCGGGTTTCGAACCCGCAACCGCGCGAAACACCGGGCTAGTGGTCCATAGAGTAGTGGGCAGTCACAGGCTAGAACTACTACATTACATTTTTATTGCAAAGTCGCCCCTATTAATAACAGCTTAAGGTCTTATAAATTGATACTTATTCGAAAGGACAGTGCCAATCCATGTATGGAAGTTGGACCAAGTGCTGCCCAGAATCAACCCATAGTGCATTTTGTTCCTCAGGCCTATACTAATGTGTAAACCGAAGCGCACTGAAATATATCCCTGGAGTTAAGAGAAAAAAAGAGTTTTGTTTTGAATTATTTACATACAAAATATCATCGATGTATACGTACTACGCATAAGATTTCGCAATTGTGGCATTAAATAACACTCGCTATGTTGAACTTAACCATACTGCATCCGTAGACCTTACTTTAGTACGACTTAGACATTCTTTATGAGTGATCAAGCGCTGTTGCAGTAGTTTGGTTAGTTGACAAAAATTAATTATTTCCAAAATGGAGCAAGAAGTTTTAGCTTACAATAACTTCAATAAATCGATTGTAATACACCAATAAATTGATTTTTTGCAAGGATAGAGAACTAAAACTTCTTGCTTCATTTTGGAAATAATGAATTTCTTTCAACTTACCAAACAATTAAAACAGCGCTAGATCGTTTATAAAGAATGTTTAAATCGCACTAAAGTAACGTGTATGGATGCAGTACGGTTAAGTTTAACATAACGAGTGTTATTTAATGCCACAATCGCGAAATCTTATGCGTAGTACGTATACATCGATGATATTTTGTGTGTAAATAATTCAAAACAAAACTCTTTTTTTCTCTTAACTCCAGGGATAGATTTCAGTGCGCTTCGGTTTACACATTAGTATAGGCCTAAGGAACAAAATGCACTATGGGTTGATTCTGGGCAGCACTTGGTCCAGACCCTGGCACTATCCTTTCGAAGTACCTAATCGAACTACACTGGACCGCAAAGATGAAGGGTCGGTTAGAAAATCTATATCTCCAAAAGTTCCTGACCTACCTTTACGTAATAAAGACTAAATTAATTAAAGCTTTTTATTTCTCATAATTATAGTCTAGTATGATTTGTTTCATAAAGCTAGGTCAGGTACTTTTGAAGATGTAAGTAGAAGGTTTTCTAACCGATCCTTTTTCTTTGCGGTCTAGTACCTATAATTCCTGCCTACAATTTTTAGTTATCGAATGATTTTGCAACACATATCTACTCCCAATAGATATCGTAGAATGTGGACGGATGATTAGATTACAGTGTTTGGTCACGGAAAATACCGCGAAATTACGTAAACTGCTCCGTTCCCCTTGGTGCCGTTGGATAACACCTAAATCTGAATAATAAATCCACTTATATTGTTTATCTTTAAATGCAGTAGATGTGTTTTTGAAGCTTTTCAAGCATTCAAATTTCAAATCGCACATCTTGTTTTAGATTTTTTTGGTAGTTAATAAAAAAAAATTTGGTAATAAAATCGAAATAAAAAATTATTCATTTTGACTTAATAAGTAACAATTTAAACACAGCTTTATTCCACTGGGTACCTAATACCTATACCACAAAAGGCAATGTAACTTGTTGAAGTTGTTGAACACTGGTACCATTGTTCTATTTGCATCCATAATTTACACCCTACGGACTACGTGAATAATCACGCGTGACTTGATATGAATGAAGTGATAGGCTAAAGACCTACTTACCATCATACGACTATTATCTATAACTTTATCAATAGACGTCTGTCCATTTTTTGGTAAACAGTGACTCATTTTGTTGGCTTGTGATGTCGACTAGTTAGCGTTATTTTACATACATATAAAATAAATATCCTACTATCGCTAGGTGAACTTAGGTGAAATGAAGAGAAATGAATAAAATGTAACTCTATAATTTAGTTTTAAAGTAAAGCGCTGTCATGCCATGCCTCTCATTTTGAAATACTAGGTAGACCTATGTTATGTTACCTTCAAAATATATCATTGTGAGCCTACATTAAGTGCGTAGGTAGTATTTATATTTCACACAAATAATATAGTCATTTGAATAATCATCTGAAAATAGTCACATTTTGGTTGCAAAAATAACAACATACTAATTTTGAGTTTACCTAATCGGTGCGTTATGCCTAATTATGCCTATAATAATTTATTTATACCGTTTCGGTTTTCCTATTGGCTTTTAGGTACTATGTATTAGTTAGAAATACCCATCAAAAACAATACTTGTCAAAAAAACCAAGTCTCGCAACTCAGTTGTTCTACGGTAAAAAGTTGTGAGATCCATGTAATACCAAGTCCAGGCCAGGAAATCTTTAACGTTTTACATAAAATATTGACTTGGCCATCGCACTAAATAATTTAATTTACACGTGTTTTCATGCGATGGCAAAGTCAATATTTTATGTAAAACGTTAAAGATTTCCTGGCCTGGACTTGGTATTACATGGATCTCACAACTTTTTACCGTAGAACAACTGAGTTGCGAGACTTGGTTTTTTTGACAAGTATTGTTTTTGATGGGATCTCATTTCTTTTTGTATTTTGTAGACAGCAGTTATGTATCTAGAAAACTGGACCGAAAATGAAAAATTTTACTCGACTTGGCGGTTGCACTACCGTGCCCCCAAATATTTTAGTTTTTCCTTGATTCATACACCAAACACTACTTATATTCCAAATTTGAAGCTTCTAGGTCTGCTAGAAGTGCCTTAGAGTTTTGATGATCGGTGAGTCAGTCAGTGAGTCAGTCAGTGAGTCAGTGAGTGACAAAATTAAGTAACTTTGACCCGTTATAATTCTTAAACTACTGGTTCAAATTGAATGAAATTTTAAATATACCGTGTCTTTACAATTCCTGCATAGCTAATGAAAATTCAGCCTTCTAGTTTTATCCACAACGAAGTTACAGGCGGTCGAAAATGGCCTGAATTGCTTCGAGAAAAGGATGGTACGGCCGTGCCGCTTTTTTGCTCGACTTGGTGGGGGCACTGCCGTGCCCCCAGATATTAATGGTCATTTAGAATGCTAGTTTAAAAAAGTTTTTTACAACGCGGGCAAAATCGCAGCGAATAGCTACGGCAGTAGATAAAAATAACTTTGCTGCACCTTTTTTCGTTGGTAATACATATTTTCGCGAATATTCTTAACATGCGTCAAACCTGTTTGTTTTTTATTTTTGTCTCTGAATCACTTTACTATCAATGTATTGTGATATGATTTGGTCGCGGACTTGCAGTTATGCCAGGTGTTAACGTTAAGATAAATCGACTACCAAGCAGTCATAATTATCTAGAAAAATTAAAATAAACGAAAAATTATCCAACATGATAATTAATGTCAAATTTATCATAATTACATTGAAGTTACTTTCGTAAGTGTACCTACTTACTTGGATGTCAATTTTAATGTGGGATTATGCTTTCAAGATCCTATTCGTATCGTATACGTGATGTTTGCCTGCATAAGATTGTGCGAGTGTGCGACAATTATTTAATTAGCTAAATATTAATTCCTCTACGTCATAGCCTGTCTCCAAACGGAATTGTCTTGACTTATCCATTTGCCTATCTAATTAAATTAAAAATTTGGCTAGTGCCTGTCAAGTTAAGTAGAACGAGGAAGTCTGTAAAGTTTTCAAGGCCATCCGACCTGTTACACCAGTCAGACAAAGCTTGAACATGTACAATACATAATATTTTCCACTGTAACAATGGATACTTCACACCGTATTTAAGTATTGGGTGCCATTTATTCTTACATAGCCATGGCATGTTATTCGTTATTACTCTTGATTGTTTTTGGGGCACGCGGGACACACCTA